TTTAAATTATAGAAGAGTAGAAAAATAATATAACTAATTTTTAACTTTCAATTTGCCTTATAATACCAAACATTTACAAGTTACTTTTAGAATATAAGTGTACATTTTTGTATCATTTTAAGTGTTTTTATTGGTCCCATGTACTACAAAAAAATTTTATAAACTTTTTTTAAAGAATCTTTATTTGATGATATATTCGGTAAAATGGAGAACTGCAGTGAACAAACTTCATGCAATCGTGCTAAATCAACTTGTTTTTTGATTTCAGTTTATGTTTATGTTATGAATAACTTCAAATTCAATGAGCATAATACTATTCCATGTATTACTGACATGCTAAATACAGGAGATTAACAGATTAGATTAACGTGACTTTTTTGAATAGTTAAAACTATTAAGTTTTTATTTCATTTACAATTGAACTTTTTATTAATTCGAGATTTCAGTTATGTTGATCTGTAATATACATGTGTATCTAATAAACCAGACCAACTTCTTAAAATTAGGCAGACCGTACGCGTAAAGTCCGACCGTATGCGTATTTTGAAAAAGTACTCATACGGTCCAGACCGTACGCGTACGGTCCAAATACTTATATGGTCTGGAACATAGACATACACGTGTATAATTTGTAAATAAAGTACGTGTTACCCGAAATCAATTAATTGTATACAACTAGACCAAAATAGAATGGAGATTTAGACTCAATGATGACTAGACATAAATAATTTTGACTATGCACATTGGCAATATAAATTTAGTTTCTACCACTCATTTGTTCTATGAGAACGGATCAAATCTGCCGGACTGACGGCACAATATTTGGTTTATTTTCTGAATACAAGGCAATGGGAATGTAATCAATGAATTAATGTTGATCTCAACTCCAAACTCAAAGGTTTCATAAAGAAAGAAATCCCATCACTCAAAACCCCCAAAACAATATTATCTTGGGTTATTACATATCAAGAACTCGACATGTTCTCACCACATAATTATAGATTTTCGTTGAGATTGATTTTCTCGCCTGAGCCGGTACGGCGAAAGTGAGAAAAGCAATGAGTTGAGATGACAAATGATAATCTGTTTATCGCTTTATTACCTATGACGACGTTGTTAATTTCAATAACAACGGCACATGCACCAGTAGCGTTTTCTTATCGCTATTTTACGAAATGTTCCTTTGATCTTACTGACTGATAATTATAGATTATCGTTGATCATCTCAACGAGATTGATTTTCTCGCTTGAGCCGGCACGGCGAAAGTGAGAAAAGCAATCGAGCTGAGATGACCAATGATAATCTGTTTATCGCATTTTACCTATGACGACATTGTTAATTTCATTGACAACGGGCACGTGCGCCCTTAGTTTCTAGCGATAATTTTTCAAATCACTCTACTGTGCTGAGAAAGGAAATTATCGCTATTTTACGAAATTTTCCTTTGATCTTACTGACTGATAATTTCCTTTCTCAGCACAGTAGAGTGATATGAAAAATTATCGCTAGAAACTAAGGGCGCACGTGTCGTTGTCAATGAAATAAACAACGTCGTCATAGGTAAAATAGCGATAAACAGATTATCATTGGTCATCTCAACTCGATTGCTTTTCTCACATTCGCCATACCAGCTCAAGCGAGAAAACCAGTCTCGTTGAGATGACCAACGATAATCTATAAATATCACTCTACTGTGCTGAGAAATAAATAATAGGTCAATGTCAGAAAAATATAAATTTTTTTGTATGAGGCTGAGAAACTGGGGAAGGGCGAGGTTTGACCGAGCCCTTCCCCAGTTTTGTGCCGCCGAATACAAAAAAGTTAAATTTTTATGACATTGACCTAATATTGTTTTTATGCTGCAACTTAAACTAATACATTGATAGCTATTTAAATTGTAACACAAATTTCAAACTTATTTTCATCCCTTAATGAACCCCTGATTGTGGAAAAAGTAATCCATGATGAAATTGACATTGCACAAAATATAGCTGTGTTACTATATTTTGGAAATAAACACAACTAGTTGCAGTATAAAGGAAATTATCAGTCAGTAAGATCAATGGAAAATTTCGTAAAATAGCGATAATTATGTTTATTTTGTATCCATTTGTTTTCAGACAGTATAGGAATGCTCAATTATAAATTAGTTAAACTTACAATCGGTATATATTCAGAGCGATTGCTTTTCGATTCAATTGACGGTGGCATTTTTGACGAAGAAGCAAGAGACACGAAATGAGGATACATGATACTTTAACTGTTGCTTTCCGATTTTCTAGAAACAACTTCTTCCATAGAGCATTTGCCAACCATCGGATCACATGATGTATGCAGACTATAAAATGTGATAAGACTTAATGTGTTCGTTATGTGACCGACCGTGCATGATTCTCATGGGTAGTCAAGGTCGTTAAAAACCACCATCTTGATAGTACGTTGTACGTGTGTCTGTCCATTTTGTTTCGTTTAACAACAAAAAGCATTTTAAACTCTAGATCTATCTCCATTTAATATTATGCATGATAAAACTAGATGGAACTATATTTTATGGAATGTTATATAAATAGCATATATATAAAGAAGTCGTTCAAGTAAAAGAACGACACATCCAACACATACTAGTACTGGAAAGGTATTGTAATGGTCAATAAATATATATATCACAAGCGACTGCGTATCTAAACTGTTTCCGGTATGTATACCAACTTTATATATAGGAGGATGAGAATAAACCTGCGCTGGAAAGGTCTTATCAAAGCAGATAAGAATGTGTATAGTTAAGGGGGTAGGGACTGGAACAGTGTACATCTGATATATTCATCAGTCGACCGTATTAGTGACGGAGCATAACCACATAGAACAAAATTATGCTGTATTGTACAAGTCTTGTATATGATGAAATAAAATGGTCTTATCGATGCAACGAAGAATATATATATCTTTTAGGGAGGGAAATATGACCAAGCTCAAGATATAAAACGATTCATGATAGATGGGCGGTGACTGAACCCTGGGAAAAAACGTATTGTGAACGGAAAAAGTCTTAGTAAGGGGATCTGAACTTCTTTTTTTTTTTTTAGATATTTAACGATCTATATTATTTGGGGTGAAGCATTATACCTGCTTGCACCTGTCCTAAGTCAGTAACCTGATGTTCAGTGGTTGCCGTTTGTTGATGTGGTTCATAAGTGTTTCTTGTTTCTCGTTTTTTTTTGTATATAGATTAGACCGTTGGTTTTCCTGTTTGAATGGTTTTACACTAGTCATTTTTGGGGCCCTTTATAGCTTGCTGTTCGGTGTGAGCCAATGCTCCGTGTTGAAGGCCGTACTTCTACCTATAATGGTTTACTTTTACAAATTGTGACTTCGATGGAGAGTTGTCTCATTGGCACTCATACCATCTTCTTATATCTATACACATGGCCTGCAGTACATTGAAAATGTACTGCCTTTAGAAACAAGCAAATGGACAGCGTAACACTCATGTGGCAAATGTCAAAAACCTATATCAGAGGATAAAAAAAGCACGGACACGAAAATGTCACCAGAAACGATGTTTTCACCTTGACATCAAGTTCATATGAAGGTCATGATTATATTCAGCACATCATCTTGTGATTGTTCGCCTTCATGTCGTATATCATAAGAAAATGTCAAAAAGATGAAAGAAAAAAATGTCCCAGTTTTATGAGAAAAAGAACCAGAAGAAGAAAACAAACTACTTAAACAAAATGTCTCCTTTGTCGAAAAGGTAACATTTGTCATTTGAAGACAACAACTCTTATAAGAATTAGTCTTATCGCTAACAGTTTTGATGTAAATAGACAATCGGTAGATCTTATCATTCTAAACATTTTTGCTCTATCATATTTTCTCTATTTATAGCGGTTTTCAAAATGATAGACGAGATCTGCATTTTACTCCAATGTTCTATTTTTAGCCATGTCGACCATGCTGGTTGGCAGGTTGGGTCATCGGACACATTTTTAAGACTAATGATGATTGTGATTTAGTAGTTTCAGATGAGAAGATTTTTTTTGTAAAAGTTAACGACGACGACGGATGCCAAGTGATGAGAAAAGCTCCCATGGCCCTTTGAGTCAGGTGAGCTAAAAAATAAAAATTGTGCATATCTAAAAAACAAATGTCTGAAGTGATTGCTTTAAAACATACAGATATAATAGATATATGTGTGTTCTCCTGAGAAGTTATGACCCCAACCAAACCCCAAAAATGTACCAAAAAATAAATAGATACATTCGTTTACTCTGATGATCTGATTGCAAACAAAAATCCTAAATATAGGATCTTCCTTGAGAACTATATTGTCGATGCCCACGACAGCTAAAACATTGTTTCTTATGCTTGTGAAGGCACACGGTAACTGCAGGGAGCTAAGTCCAGATGAGCGATTCAGGATTTTGAGAGTTTCTATAATTTTACATGTTTCATACTACTCCTAGTAATTTTGTATTTGTTTTTCTTGGTAATTTATTATATGTCTCACGAGGGATCTTGTGCTCAACAGCATCTGATTCTTCTATGTTGTACTATTACTTTAAATAAACAAATCCATAATGATCCAAGTAGGGTGACATAACTTCTTTCAAAGCTGCCTTAGGTTGAACGAAGTGTAGATAAATAAGTATATTGAGAAGATTATTGTTCGTTTCGTATTTGCCATGATTACTATATATAGATAAACGAATAATATTTTAAAAAATTTTCTTTCAGCTTTTAAAATTCAGACAGATTATTGAACATTTTTTTACTATGATAATCGTTTGTTCCTTTTCCTTTTTCTTTTTTTTTTTTTGGGGGGGGGGGGGGGTCTGTTTATTAATCTGATGAAACTACCATAAGGTATTCAATCCTGATATATGTACTGGTATTATAACTCCTTTACTATTTATAAAACCATATGTTCATTTTCTTCAAATCCTACGATGAATTAGGAATACGATTCATTCATGACATATATAAGAAAAGAAAAACGTTACGTTTCTGTTATTTTATAAATCTTGATACAGCAAAAATCCGGAAAAGTTTGCCAAGTCATCAATTCCACAAGAATGTCCATGATAGACCTTGTTGCGAACCCATACTTGGTCTCCTGTGTCTAAACGAACGACAGCAAATGATGTCTCACTGTCTTCTTGACCACTAGGTGCTTCCATGTAGTTGGTTGCTATTGGATATCCGTTTTTGACGGCATCTATCCAGCAGATTCTCCCTGGAAGTGTCCTTGTATCCAATACGAACGCGTAGTAGCCGCCAACTGGTGCGGTGAAAATTCCAGTTGATGCACTGTAACTGTTGGATACGTCGGTCATTCGTCGGTCAAATTTGATAGTTTGGTCTGATCCTAAGCTACTTTGGTCACCTGATGTCCTGTAGGTAAAAGCAACTTTCTTCTGGACTGAAACTAAAGATGTTTTGTCATTAAAAAGAAGTGCAAACATGTATTTTTAAAAGGCTGTTCTTGCTATTTATCGATATGCTGTCAGATGTGAAGAGTAGATTTCTCTTAATATTTTCAAATATAAATAAAGAAGTATTAGAAATATACATCAATGAGACAGTAACCCTACAAATTATTTAATCAAAAGGATATATATATGGATAATGCAGAGCATGTATATATATCCCGGTATCACATTTTTAAACAATGGTTGATATAGAAGTAAAGGCACTGCTTCACTTATGTTGACATTAAGGTTATTGATTGAATAGCTGTCGTCCCGCAAATAGATTAGGAAATAAAAACAATTAGCTTTTTTTAGGTTAATGTTATCACTCCGCGTGTAATTTAAAAAAAAATGATAGGCCTTATTAGTAGCCCTGTTTTGCGTTTTGACATATGAACAGGAAATAGTGGTCTTAGTATCTAAAATTGTAAAAGGTAGTTTATCTCACAAGTTCCAGATTTTAGTTCCTCAAAAAAATAATAATAAACAAAAATGTCTCTTATCTTGAAAACGAATATTTTCAACTGCTTATTCTGGTGCTGGTGTAAGGGTTAAAGTTTTAAATAAGTTTCAATCTTATCTGCAGATATAAAAAAATGTATTTTGGAAGCATGATTAAATGTTTTCGTGTCAATTTCCAAAAGACGAATGAAAAATGTCTCGTTGCTGTAGTGACTGAAGAAGAATTTTATGTGGTGTGAAATACTTAGTATATGATATCGTTTTATTGGTTTAAACATGTCTGAACATTTCTTTCTTACCTGGACTGTTATACTATAGAGTTCCGAAGTTATCTTAAAGTTAATGGTCATAAAATTCCGAAGTGACCTTTTCGTTTATGTTTATAGAGTTCCTACCTGAAGTCGGGTCACGTGTATGTTTATAATTTTCTAAAGTTAGTTTGACATTCATGTTTATTGACTTCCCACCTTGACGTATATGATTATAAAGTTGTCACCTTGACATATATGTTTATAAACATAAACGTCAAGGTGAGAACTTTATAAACACGTATGTCAAGGTGAGAACTTTATAAACGTATACGTCAAGGTGAGAACTTTATAAACATATACGTCGACAGTTCACCCCTTGGTGTTTATGTTTATGAAGTTCGTCCCTTGACGTATATGTTCATACAGTTCACCCCTTGACGTATATGTTTATACAGTTCACCCCTTGACGTTTATGTTTATAAAGTTTTCACCCTGACGTATATGTTTATAAAGTTCTCACCTAGTCTTATATTTTTATGAAGTTCACCCCTTGACGTATATGTTTATACAGTTCACACCTTGACGTTTATGTTTATAAAGTTCTCACCTAGACGTTTATGTTTATAAAGTTCACCCCTTGACGTTTATGTTGGTAAAGTTCTCACCTTGACATTTGTGTTTATAAAGTAGTCACACTGACATAAACGCCAAGGGGTAAACTGTATAAACATATACGTCAAGGGACGAACTTCATAAACATATAAGTCTAGGTTAGAACTTTATAAACATATACGTCAAGGGGTGAACTTTATAAACATAAACGCCAAGGGGTGAACTGTCCACTTATATGTTTATAAAGTTCATACCTTGACGTATATGGTTATAAAGTTCTCACCTTGACATACGTGTTTATAAAGTTCACCCCTTGACGTATATGTTAATAAAGTTCTCACCTTGACCTATATGTTTTTGAAGTTCACCCCTTGACGTATATGTTTATACAGTTCACACCTTGACGTTTATGTTCGTAAAGTTCATCCCTTGACGTATATGTTTATAAAGTTCTCACCTTGACGTTTATGTTTATAAAGTTCAACTGTTGACGTTTATATTTAATTCTCACCTTGACATATATGTTTATAAAGTAGTCACATTGACATATATGTTTATAAAGTTCTCACCTTGACATATATGTTTATGAAGTTCTCACTTTGACGTATATGTTGATAAAGTTCACCCCTTGATGTTTATGTTTATACAGTTCACCCCTTGGCGTTTATTTTTTATACAGTTCACCCCCTGACGTTTATGATTATAAAGTTTATCCCTTGACGCTTATGTTTATAAAGTTCGCACCTTGACGTATATGTTTATAAAGTTTCCCTCTTGACGTTTATGTTTATACAGTTCACCCCGTGACGTTTATGTTTATAAAGTTCTCACCTTAACGTTGGCGTTTATAAAGTTCTCAGCTTGACGTTTATGTTTATACAGTTCACCACTTGACGTTTATGTTGATAGGTTCCAACCTTAACGTTTATGTATATAAAGTTCACCCGTTGACGTTTATGTTCACAAAGTTCACTCCATAACGGTTATGTTTATACAGATCACCCCTTGAGGTTCATGTTTATAAAGTTCACCCCTTGATGTTAATGTTTTTACAGTTTACCCCTTGACGTTTATGTTGATAAAGTTCTCACCCTGACGTATATGTTAATAAAGTTCTCACCTTGACCTATATGTTTATGAAGTTCGTCCCTTGGCGTATATGTTCATACAGTTCACTCCTTGACGTATATGTTTATACAGTTCACCCCTTGACGTTTATGTTTATAAAGATCTCACCCTGACGTATATGTTTATAAAGTTCTCACCTAGTCTTATATGTTTATGAAATTCACCCCTTGACGTATATGTTTATACAGTTCACACCTTGACGTTTATGTTGATAAAGTTCTCACCTAGACGTTTATGTTTATAAAGTTCACCCCTTGACGTTTATGTTGGTAAAGTTCTCATCTTGACATTTGTGTTTATAAAGTGGTCACATTGACATAAATGCCAAGGGGTAAACTGTATAAACATATACGTCAAGGGACGAACTTCATAAACATATAAGTCTAGGTTAGAACTTTATAAACATATACGTCAAGGGGTGAACTTTATAAACATAAACGCCAAGGGGTGAACTGTCGACTTATATGTTTATAAAGTTCATACCTTGACGTATATGGTTATAAAGTTCTCACCTTGACATACGTGTTTATAAAGTTCAACCCTTGACTTATATGTTTATGAAGTTCTCACCCTGACGTATATGATAAAAGTTGTCACCTTGAAATATATGTCTATAAACATAAACGTCAAGGTGAGAACTTTATAAACACGTATGTCAAGGTGAGAACTTTATAACCATATACGTCAAGGTATGAACTTTATAAACATATAAGTCGACAGTTCACCCCTTGGCGTTTATGTTTATAAAGTTCCCTCCTTGACTTATATTTTTATGAAGTTCGTCACTTGACGTATATGTTTATACAGTTTACCCCTTTGCGTTTATGTTTATAAAGTTCACCCTTTGACGTACATGTTTATAAAGTTCTCACCTTGACGTGTATATTTATAAAGTTCACCCTATGACGTATATGTTTGTGAAGTTCTCACCTTGACGTATATGATTATAAGGTGGTCACCTTGACAAGGTGAGAACTTTATAAACACGAATGTCAAGGGGGGAACTTTATAAAAATATACGTCAACAGTTCACTCCTTGACGTTTATATATGTTTATAAAGTTCGCCTCTTGACGTTTATGTTTATAAAGTTCACCCCTTGACGTATATGTTAATAAAGTTCTCACCTTGACCTATATGTTTTTGAAGTTCACCCCTTGACGTATATGTTTATACAGTTCACACCTTGACGTTTATGTTCGTAAAGTTCATCCCTTGACGTATATGTTTATAAAGTTCTCACCTTGACGTTTATGTTTATAAAGTTCAACTGTTGACGTTTATATTTAATTCTCACCTTGACATATATGTTTATAAAGTAGTCACATTGACATATATGTTTATAAAGTTCTCACCTTGACATATATGTTTATGAAGTTCTCACTTTGACGTATATGTTGATAAAGTTCGCACCTTGACGTATATGTTTATAAAGTTTCCCTCTTGACGTTTATGTTTATACAGTTCACCCCGTGACGTTTATGTTTATAAAGTTCTCACCTTAACGTTGGCGTTTATAAAGTTCTCAGCTTGACGTTTATGTTTATACAGTTCACCTCTTGACGTTTATGTTGATAAAGTTCCCACCTTAACGTGTATGTATATAAAGTTCACCCGTTGACGTTTATGTTCACAAAGTTCACTCCATAACGGTTATGTTTATACAGATCACCCATTGAGGTTCATGTTTATAAAGTTCACCCCTTGATGTTTATGTTTATACAGTTTACCCCTTGACGTTTATGTTGATAAAGTTCTCACCCTGACGTTTATGTTGATAAAGTTCACCCCTTGACGTTGATGTTGATAAAGTTGTCACCCTGACGTTTATGTTGATAAAATTCACCCCTTGACGTTTATGTTGATAAAGTTCACCCCTTGACGTTTATGTTTATAAAGTTCACCCCTTGAAGTTTTTGTTTATAAAGTTCACCCCTTGATGTGTATGTTTATAAAGTTCACCCCATAACGGTTATGTTGATAAAGTTCACCCCTTGACGTTTATGTTTATAAAGTTCTCACGTTGACGTTTATGTTTATAAAGTTCACCCCTTGACGTTTATGTTTATAAAGTTCTCACGTTGACGTTTATGTTTATAAAGATCCCGCCTTGACGTTTATGTTTATAAAGTTCACCCCTTGACGTTTATGTTTATAAAGTTCACCCCTTGACGTTTATGTTTATAAAGTACACCCCTTGACGGTTATGTTGACAAAGTTCTCACCTTGACGTTAATTTTTATAAAGTTCCCCACTTGACGTTTATGTTTATAAAGTTCACCCCTTGATGTTTATGTTTATAAAGTTCAAATTTTAAGCTTATGTTTATAAAGTTACAGTCTGTTAGGTCATAAACCATTCGAGTTCGCTATGTGTACTCAGTACTCCAAACCAACCAATCAAACTATTGGATTAAATGTTTCGAGCACGATTTTTGTGCTCCGAGCACTGAGCAAAGTTTCATGCCGTGGAGCGTTTATGTTGAAAAAGTTTCAAAGTTACCTTGACGTGTATGCTTTTGGAGTTCTTGGTTTCTTTGTAGGCGTTCTATGAGTTTTTGTTGTTTGCGGATGATTTCATTTTGCTGCGATATTCTTTCCTCCATATTTGCGATTATAGTATCTGTTTTCATAAATCTTGCCTCTAGAATGTATAAAATTACGGTATTAGATATGATTTTCCTTAAAACCTCGGTTGATTTCACTGAAGCTTGGTTTGAATGTATATCATTATACTTTTATAAAACTTCTTCACTGATCCGTCAGAACATCAAAAATCTATTTTAGGTGAATTCTTATAGATAATATATTAAGTTTTCTTCACCTTTATCTTCAATATAAAAATAAAATAATGATAACATTTCATATAAAAGTTCTTTAAAATAATTCGACGCTCTAACAAAGGTATAGATAACCGTCTAGGACGCTAGTTTTGGATCCTAAGATAGCTTACCATTTTCCAATTTCATAGATTCCAGATGCTGCTGTAGTTTTTGGTATACTTCATTGTAGTTTTGCGGTTCTGCACTTATTAGACAGCTAACAGAAACCAGTATAACCAATATGTTCTGTACAAGCAACATGTCCGTCACATTCACCTGCAATATCTGGGTCTTATCTTTTTATGTGTTATACACGTTGACAATAGTTGTACGGTTCTTAGATAAGTCATAATTCTTGTATTATTTGACTTATTGTTCGAAATCAGGATATTGAATAAATAAAAATGGAGGTTATCTTTTACAAGTAGTCAAACCTACATGAGACATCATTGATATGTTCATTTGTTTTTTTTTGTAAATTTACTGTTCATAAAATGTTGAATAGTTCGAAATACTATGGTTTTTCTCACGATGTCTAGATTGTCTTACATGTATTTGACACAATTTTTTTGGAAACTTCGTTTGTGTACTGTGCATACCCTCCCGTTTAATTCTAATCAAATTATATTTTCTATAGCAAAACATAAATCATGTCTACAGAAATGGACAACTTGTATCTACAACTGCACTTTATATAGATATAAGAAGATGTGGTATGAGTGCCAATGAGACAACTCTCCATCCAAGTCAAAATTTATAAAAGTAAACCATTATAGGTCAAAGTACGGTCTTCAACACGGAGCCTTGGCTCACACCGAACAGCAAGCTATAAAGGGCCCCAAAATATACTAGTGTAAAACCATTCAAACGGGAAAACCAACGGTCTAATCTATTTAAAAAACGAGAAACGAGAAACACTTATGAACCACATCAACAAACGACAACTACTGAACATCAGATTCATCCATTGACTGCATTGCAATAAACCTTTCCAGGATTAACATGACATGATGACAATGTGGATTTCCTTTTTTCTTTCGTATGCTATTCAAATTTTGAGGGATAGCGGCAAGGATTACTATACAAATCTTTGATAGCGGTAATAAATGTAATTTGAATATCGTTTTTATCGGTTCTAACATTGATTTTGTTATAAAATAGATTAAAAATTAACTAAATACGTATTCCTATACAGTTATGACCACTTACGGTCATTCATCTTATCGATACTTATATTTCGGAATTGACCATTGGCCATGTTTATCTCAAACTGTTTATGACGTCTTTACATTTAATTCATTGGATTTGTACTGATTTATGTTAGTTTTAAAAACTTGGTTTATTTAAAATGGTTTAAGAAAATACCGAACTTCATGATAAATAAAAAAAGGAGAAATCTACAAAACCGGACAAAACCAAATGCTCGACTATATCAACGAATGGTGACTTAAGCTTTGTATAGGTATTTTCCGATAATTATTTGTAATCGACTTTGAACTAGCTTTTAGTAACTGTTGGTTCATGTTTCGATTGCATTTTTTTCATTTGGTCATATCGGGGCCTTTTACTTTTATAACACTATAGTATACATATGGGGTTTGCTCATTGTTGAAAGCTGTACGGTGTTATTCACGTTGTTTGGTTTCTGATGGATAGTTTTCTTGGTGCTTAGCACTCACATAAATAAATCTGAAAATTAAAAAAAAAAAGAGGTTTAAGGTTTAACGTTTGGAAAAATTAACTGTCAACTAAGTAACTGAGAACATCACAATCAAAAGATGGTTCTGTAAAAACCTATGAAGTATTATCACTACTCTGTTTCTTAAATCTCCTGAGTGTAAAACAAAAAACCTAGTTTTAACCTTCCTCACTTTAAATTAACACATGTCACATGTAAATATGGATTCTCCTTCAGTGTAATACATGAAAGGGATAAAAGGAATTGGTAAAAACAATTGACAGTACAGCCAGAGACGTCTCTGGTACAGCACAACACATCAAACCAGTACAGCCAGAGACGTCTCTGGTACATCACAACACATCAAACTAGTACAGTCAGAGACGTCTCTTGTACAGCACAACACGTCAAACACTAGCAAATGACGCCTCCGAGACAATACATGCACAAAGAAAAGAAAAAACAACAACCAAAAACACATGGTCGGTTGAAAAATAAATTAACTTGATTCTAAGACTAAAAATATAGGTAGAAGATACCGGTCAACATCTAGAAATTGACAATAATAGTCGGTTGGAAACTAAACTTTACGACAAAAAGAATGTTTTCAGCTTTCCAATAATGAACTTTCTATTTCTATGTAGCAACATTTCAGCATTGGGAATATATATATCATCCAGTTGATATGATATTCAAGAGCTTGTGTTTCCTGTAAAGAGTTTTTTGATAAGAGAGTTCCAGCGGTTCCAAGTGATAAAGGTTAAAATCATCGTTTCAAAAGTTTTACGGACTGCATAACGAGTTGGTTGACCGCTATGGGATGTCTGTTTCACAGATGACCACGGATATATTCCAATTGTCTCTACACCACAATCTGATAATCTTTCTTCACCGAATATAACTATATCGAATGTGTACTAATCATGATCAACACGACGGGTGTGACTGGGGGAGCAGGATCGGCTTATATTTCCAGAGCACACGAAACTGCCCTTACTTCAGTTAAAAAGGAGTTCATGTTATTTTTTTACCAATCTGTTATTTTGTGATGCTTAATCACTCGATAGAACGCATTAAGCAATTTTAAGGAGGTAACAAGACAGAATCCTTAGTCGAGCATGATCTGCTAGCCATTCCAGATCAAATGAGATCACTCAAAATGTTTGGCAGGGTTCGTGTTCCTCATTCGTTTTCGAGGTAGAATTTGTGAAACTGTTTGTTATTTTCATCGTCTTCTATGTTTGACATGGTGCTGTCAACTTATCTCGAATTATAAGTGTCCTTGGTATACTCCACATTTTTGTAAATTTCTTGCCATTTCCGATGATTTCGTTTGGAACACATTAAAATACAGTAATTGCATAACATGTACCATTTTAAAATTGTACTGGTTTTGTTTTTGCTGATAAAATTGAGGGCAGAACCAGTGCTGCCTTCATAGTTGCAAGAAACTCATTTTCTCCAGAACAACCTTAAAGTTTTACATGCATGTGAGCAAATAGCAAATAGTGCACATACAATTGGAAAAAGAAGTGAGGTCAAATGAATATTTTGTAGGGAAAACTGCCAAAAGTGTGTGATATAGTAGTATCTGTCAGGTATTATAGTTATATGCCAGACATAATTAGACTAGCTACAAAAATATCGTTACAGGTAAATCAATCGCCCCTAACTTTAAAATTTCCAAAAGCTGCCAAACCCTCATTTTAAGATGATCTCATCAATATTTAGATAATAGAAAAGACCTTATTAAAAAAAATTTTGAAACACAATTTCTTTTATCAAAATGTGATACTATCGTTTTGAATAAGGTTTTTGCTTACATTTATCTTAACAATAAACTCTGTGCAAAATGTTCATTTTATGTCAAACATTCCTGTTATGTTGAGGACTGTGCTGATCGTTACATATAGGTTATATAAGTATTTAAATTGCTGTCTGAACAATAAATACCCAATATCCACAGATTGTTGACAAAGCCCTGTGTTTTAAAAAAATAAAACTAGAAAAAAAACATATCAGTACTCCTTCTTTCAGAACTAATCTATCACTAAAGTTTTAATAATGAAAACAAAATCAATCGTGTGACAGAGTTGTTCTCTTTCTTTCAATCCTTTTTTTCGTGTGTGTTTTATTTTTTTTAATATATTATCAATATCTCAAGATCATGTTGTACTACTAGTGTTTTATACTCAACAATCCAATAAATTGATGAAACTTGAACATTTTAAATGGTAGTTGAACAAATACATACATGGGCTATTAGGTACAATACTGGGAAAATGGATTTAGCAGGTGTGAAGATGATAACATTAACAGTACCAGTTTGATTGCACCAGATGTGCATTTTGACAATAAACCTCTCTTCAGGAATATTCGAAAATCAAAAACCTAACAGAAATGTTGGAAGACTTGAATTTTACCTTAATTACTTTACTTTACAGACCCTAAAACTATCAAACAGGTCTTTTGTGGCTTGTGCTTTGTTGGGAAGCTGTCTTATTGACATATAACGTACAACTATAACTCATATGAAAGGAAGCTATAAAACAAGTCCATATGTATATAATATATATATATATAAAATAATTTTATTTATATAACAGTAAAAATCATAGACAAATTTAACAAAGAAGTTGAGTGACAATCTTAAAACAATTAAATATCTGACCCTAGAGTTTGCTCATAAGTTTGATGGAACTCATCTTTATTTTTGATACATCAACTCGTCTGAAGACTTTATGTTTACAAATAATGTGACCCCAAGAAATTCAGTACATTTTGTGTACAAGACTTTATTTGTTAAACCGAATGCCTGTGAATTGCTTAATCTAAATTAAATCAATTTTTCCACATTATTATCAAGTTTTAATATGCATTGTTCAATTTTTCTACATTAAAACTTGTTCTGTGTACTTAACCACTCCACAAAAGGGGTGTCAAGCTTATATTTTTTTTCATTGATACTACAACATTCGGTACAGTTTGAGTAAAAGTATGGTATTGAAAAATAATACACAGCTATGTAATATTCAATTCTCATTGGCCTTTTGTTGTGACTGCTATATTTAGAAAGACAGGAATAACTCATGTTAGGCCTTCTAAGAGGATTTTACTAGAGCCATTAGTTTTAGGTGAAAAAAGTCCACTCACAGAAAACAGACGAATTAGCATTATAATGATAATAATATATATTTGTTCAATAACATAAAAGTGACACTTTAAAAAATATAGTCATATATGAAAAGGAATGTCATGTTTCTGTATCACATAATCTGTTAAAAACACTTTAAAATCATCTGCTCCTAGGATCAGTTTCTAGGATCTAGTATAAAATGTAAAATACACGAGGTACAATAAATTGAGTTAAAAATGTATACCAATTAAAAAGAATCAACTAGAATTATAATAGTGCCAAACACGTTTCTATGTATTGCAAGCAGGCATATTTGAGGACTAAGAAAAATTAATGGGTTAAATTCAATATCATCCATGATTTTCAATATATATTTCAACTAAGTATCTAAAAAAAAAATACAAATTCTACCACTATTTTCTAAAACAATGCCTGAATACCAAAGCATCTATCTAATTGTTCCTATGAAAACTGCTACAGCATATATAAATAGATCACGTAAAAAGCCTTTCTAATACAAATGATGTATATTCTTTATAAAATTCAATTTGTTCAATAGCAATACTTTTTATAGTAAATTGTCATAGTTGGTGGCAAACTGCACCCAATATAAATAACAGATGTGAAGTATATTCACAAATTCTGATTTTTTTTCTTACACAAAAATCAAAGAATTGATGGTCCATGTTGAGTCTTATTCAATAAATATTTATGTTGAAAAATTAATATAAAATAATGCTGCGTTCACACGTAATTCGAATTCGATTCGCATTAACTAATTAGAATTAGTTTAATTCGCATTCGAATCGTTTTACGTCCAAACGTTAATTCTAATTTGAATTGCAATACTGTAAATTTGCTTTACTTTCCGAACGACATTAACTTTTAATTCGTATCAACAAGAACGGATTTCTAATGCGAATTGGTTAATGCGAATTAGCCAATTTGAATCTATTTGAATTAAAAAGGAAGAGTGTGTGAACGCGATTAGCGAATTCGATTCCCATTCGATTCGAATTCAATTCAAATTAAATGTACGTGTGAACTAGGCATTAGACATCTTCAATGCTCACAATATATAAATATATATTGGAATGTTGATGTTATACTTGTACACTGTATATTAGAAAATAAGAATGTAAACTTTTTTTTGTAGAAAAAAATAGTTTTATATCTCAAGATCAATAAATTAGCAAAAGAAAATATATTGTAAAATTGTAAAAAAAAACAATATCCGACCTATATAAATATAGTAAAATATAGTAAAAACTTTCAAATGTTACAAACAGAAGCATGCCTAAAACCACGATTTCAGTTTGCCGTTTTACATTTTTGTTCAGACATCTTTTGAACTGCTATTTTTACCGGTGTGACATCTTTAAAACAGTTCAACTTAGATGCTTCACCCATATGACCAATCAATAACTGTTTCTATAGATAATTCCATCAATCTACACAGAACTAACCACTGCATTTGAAAAAAAGTTTTGAGCAACACAGTCCAAGACAACAGTCACAGATCCCAAATATTTCATGATTTTTACCAGTCTTCTTATTTCATTTAAATATTCCTAAAATATTGTATATAAAATAATAACTACTTTATTGCTCATGAATCAAATTATTGCAATAGACCTCATGTTTTAAAAAATGAAAGTTTTTTTTACATAAAATACCCACCAATGACCTTTGACCAATGTACTTATTTTCCAACCACTTTAAACTGTTAAAAAAATTTAAAAGTGGCTGCAACATAGCCAAATCTGACCTACAACCTTGTGGGGTTTGGCAGGTGACCTTGCAACCTGACATCTCATTTAAATGGACCTGTAACCTCTAATGCAGGTTTCTTGATAAATTTGCTTTAAAGTGACCTGGTGACACACGGAAAAACATGACCTTCAGACCTAAGGAGGGTACCCTACTGGAGCCCCAAAAAATTACATAAATTAAAGAAGGCACATAAAACTTATTGCCCTGAATATAATAAAAGATTTAATAAATGTAGGTCAGATAAGGATATACAATGTACATACATTTTTTTGTTCTCAATATGTTAATCAGCCAACTAAACACTACTTATTTCCTGAGGCAAGAAGATTAACAGCAAATATCAATTTAGAATAACATTAATGGTAATAGTTCCTTTCCTTAAACTGGATGTTGCTCAAAAGCCAGGTTTAGAAAATTAAGATAACAAAATCTGCCCATACAATGCCAATGGCTGCCAAAAAAATAATTTACACATTAAGTTTCCAGAATTGGGACATAATGGTTACTTTCAATTAATCATTTCCACAAATATGTTTCGAAAGGCACATGAACCCTTACTGAACAATAATGGTGTATCTGACATGTTAATTTTTTTCATAATTATTTTGGCATATATACATAAATATATATATATATATTCACAACCCTTTCTACTGAGTAATGGCACATCACAATAAACGTAAGTTCGATTGTACAAATAAATAGTCATAATTTCGCTCAATATACATTTCTTTTATATTACAGTTAAAAATAAATGAAACATTTTGTTTAAAAATATCACAAATAAAATGTGAGATTTGTTTATCAGATGCGGTGCCTGTTTATCAGATGAAACGCAGAAACAATGAAATCTTGAACATTAATTAATTGAAACCTTTTTATCAGAAGTAACCCAGAAACAAACAAAAACTTATTTTTAGGTGTAACACCAATTACAGAAGTTAAAGCTGTTGATCACACAAGTGAACCCAACTCGGTGTAAGGCTGTTTATTACATGTAACACCAATAAAATGAGACATGCTGGTTGGAGATTACTATAGCTAAACGAAACCTGTTAGCCTACTCCTAACAATGGTTTTGTTTATTTCACACAGGTTGTAAAAATTATAAAAAAATATTTCTGTCCCAATAAAAAGCTCAAATTACTTTTTTTTTCATCCATGTTCGCCTTACATGGGTTTTTTTTTACTGAATCTTTATTTGGCAAGCTTTTAAATTACACAGCCATGTAATGAATTAAACTGAATTCATATTATCAATTGTATGACTTGGAAGACAAAAAATATATATCCTAATCTAAAATTTACAATGAAGAAATATTATTACAAATTTTCAAACATCAAACCTGACATTTTTTCTCTGTTTTCCAAAATTCAGTAATACAGCTCTATTTTCTCTCTTTGTTTCTATTTTAAAAAGTTTTATACTTTATCTTTATTCAGCTTAAATTGGTAAACTTAAGAAAATTCACCAAAGTGGTAAACGACATGGTTTTTTTTAACAACCTTGACTACCCTTGAGTGTCTTGCATGGTCGGTAAAGTGGTAAAGAATAAATTGCATGCACCTTAATGTCATTTTAATGTCTGTTCATACATAAATGTTGGATAAAAAATTAAAAATTAAAAAAAACCCAAATTTTCAGATCATTTAACTACACTTAGAATTCTCAGCCAAAACCATGAGCTGCCTCCCTTAACTGGTATGTAACATAACATGGTAAACTCTTTTAAATTACTCTCAATCTTAAAACTAATTCATTATGCAGTATTCTTGGACAGCATTCCTCTGATTCAGGGTAACAAAGTTTACGATGGACAGCATTTTGACCAATCTGTTTCTGGGTAGCCTTCATAAACGCCATTGAAAATCATGGCAAACCCAACAAAGCACAGGTATATTGATAGAGTAACGTAGCCAAGGGTTTTCTCCCAGGTTAAAATGTTCACATTCTTCAGGATTGGTATTCCAAGTAATAAACCTGAAATAGAAATAAACTCTATTGAATTCAGTAAACATATTTGCAGATTTTTTAAAGTGAAAAAATTACTTAAATCACAAATGACAGCAGATATATTCCATTTATCACAATCTTATCTGCCTTTCCTCACTATTGACTTGTCACTCGATGTTTTAAATGACATGAGCAATATGTATTGGGGTTAAAATGTCGTAACTGAAGCTTGAACTGGCATATTATAGCAGAACCATTGACTAATTCTTTTTTAGTGGGCTTCATATGGCTCCTTTTCTTTTCTGTGAACTAGTGTCTGCTGCTTCTTCCTTTTTTCTTCTTGTAACCATAACGATTTATTTCTGTCAGCAATGGTGTTCTGTTTCTTTATACAATTTATGTATTTTTATTGTCCCCTTTAAATCTTTTTTTTTTTTTTTTACTACAGAATCATACAATTTTAAAAGGGGTGTCATAATTTATTTCTGTTTCACTGACATTTAAAATAATTGTTCCTTACTCATAAATGATTCTAGCTCTGCAAACTCTATATAATACCATCAAATAGTATACTGAAGATGGTTTTCAAATGATCCAGTTGCTTTGTACTCAATTTATAAATTTTCTGCAAAAAGCAACCCTCTTTAGTTTTTCAAATATTTGGTATAATTTCCATATGTTTCATGTGGCTTGTTCCTTGGTAATTTATTGCCATAACTATGCATCTTGCTTAAATTTTACATTATTCAAAAGGTGGACATAAAATTAGGGAGCATTGTACTTGTATGAAAGTACTTCTATCTCTATACTCAGTTTTGTGTTTTGTGGAAAATCATTTGTTCATAATGTGCACGATGTATATTTTTGGATGAATATTTCAATAATGAAAAAAATAGAAAATATGTATTTTGTTTGGTAAAAAAATGACTGGATTAAAAATTTTTGCTATGTATTAAGCTGCCATCTTTATACCTGCAATCATTCCTCCTATGTGAGCTGATATACCAACTTTTGTTACTTCTTCTTCAAAGTATCTCCTGTAGATAGCAAGACCTGTATCTCCTACAGCTGAAATATTTAGGTCAAATTATCTTATTGTATTATATAAAATTGTAAATATTTGAAAAATACCACTGTGAACTTTATTTCTATAAATTATTTTTTTAATATACATTTTGTACTGCACTCTCATTATTCTTTTTTTCAGTTCTCTCTATAGGTTGTTTTCTGCTCTTTGGTCGAGTTGCTGTCTCTTTGACTCATTCCCTAATTCCATCTCAATTCTTTTATTGTTAAAGAACAAACAGAAAGCTTCAGTTATTTATATCTTTTCCTCTACACAATTTTGTATTGTCATGTTTTTTGTACTCCTATGTCTCAAAATTTGTTCCCATATATTCAAGATTTAGCAGAACAGCAGGTTGAGCAGATTTTTAAAACATTTATATAAAATGACTGCACTGACCAAATGGAGTCGTGCTTCTATAAAATCATCAGTCAGTAATACAGATATACTATTTAGTTACTTACACAAAACAAGAAGCACTGTTAGTCGTATGGGAGCACTACACAGAAACCTCAGTAATGATCCTTCAGTACACTGGTAATTCATTTCTTTCCAATTCTGAAGAATAATCATACAATTCAGTATAAAAAGTATCCTTAATATATCTTAAGATGTATAAACATCACAATATTCCTTAAATTAATGTAAAATTTTTCTTCATAAGATATCTTAAATTCATATATATTAGGTCCAAGGACACAGTTATCTTCCTTAGGTTTTCGTTGTCTACGAATATAGTCCCTAGTGTGAACAGTGTATAACTTGCGGTTTTTTTTTATACACTTTTCCAATTTATTTCTTGATATTTTATGCATGAAATATTAAGTAAGGGGATGAAATTACATGTTAAAAAAATTTGGGTGCTGAATCTTTATGTTAAGTAGTGATTTGGTCCAGTTAACAAGGGCAAAAATTAGAATATCTGAAGCTGTCAAACTGAATTTTAGCCCCCTTAACACAGAATTGTCAATATTTTCAGTTAGAGCTGGTAGAAGTTTCTATAATTTTGATACTACCAATAATCTAAGATTTGTAATTGCTAAAAACAACTTGATGTTTAACTTTAAAAGATTAAAGATATCAGTTAGTTGTACAGTAATATTGTCAATTTTAGTTTTATAAATTTAAAAAATAAACCACTGAAATTAGGATATTGAACATGTTGAATTACTTTGTTTATTTGCAAGGTATATTCATCTATAGTGGATACAACTCAGACTATACAAATTGTCCAATTAATCTAAATCTTAACCCTAGACACTCACCCATAAAAATTAAATTTAATATTTGATTTCTTTATAAAAATAAGGAGATGTGGTATTGCCTTTATAAGTCTATAAACTGTTGAAAATACCCTACATCAGCGTGCTTCAATGCACAAGATTTAGCTTGATAGCTCGGAATTTCATTCAAAACACACCTAGTTGCTTTGTTTAACTTAACATATGCTCTGTGTTGAAGGCCAGACTATGACTTTCAGATTGTGATCAGCAATAATAAAGTGTTGTTCCTTAGCTTTTGATATTGTTGTGTGTTGGAATTTTATATCAATGATTACACTGTATCCCTCGTTTTTCATTTATTGCATTTTAAAGTAGTAAGAAATATTAACTAAAGCAACAAATTTTTATAGTTGGTCACTAGATATAAGAAGATGTGGTATGAGTGCCAATGAGACAACTCTCCATCCAAGTCACAATTTGTAAAAGTAAACCATTATAGGTCAAAGTAACCTGCCTGTTCCTGATGTCTTTTTTTTTGTTTGCCATTGGGTTGCTGTCTCATTGACATATACCCCACTTCTCCTTATATTCATATTTCTGGATCATCACATAACCTTCACTTAAGGGATAAAGATAGACTCCACAATGTTCAAAGAACCAAAACACCAAGCAATTTACCAGGTAATTCTATGCTTTATAACTAATCTGTACTTACAACTATAACAGAAGCTATATGAGCACCAATAAGAGCATAACATCCACCACTGGCTCCCGCTAGAGCTACATCTACATCTGTTACAGAATGAGCAAGTGATCCTGAAATAACATGTAAACATTAAACATGTAACGTGTTACAGAATGGACAAGTGATCATGTAATAACATTTAATTATTTAACATGGAATGTGTTACAGAATGGGCAAGTGATCCTGTAATAACATTTTTAAACATTTGACAAGTAACGTGTTACAGAATGGGCAAGTGATCCTTTCATAACATTTAAACATTAAACAAGTAATGTGTTACAGAATGGGCAAGTGATCCTGTAGTAACATTACAAAAATTAACATGTAACATGTTACAGAATGGGCAAGTGATCCTGAAATAAAATTAAAACATTTTACAATTAACGTGATACAGAATGGGTGAGTGATCCTGTAATAACATTTAAACATTTAACAAGTAACGTGTTACAGAATGGGCAAGTGATGCTGTAATAACATTTAAACAATTAACATTTAACATGTTACAGAATGGGCAAGTGATCCTGTAATAAAATTTAAACATTTAACATGTAACAAGTTACAGAATGGGCAAGTGATCCTGTAATAACATTTAAACCTTTAACATGTAACAAGTTACAGAATGGGCAAGTGATCCTGTAATAATAGTTAAACATTTAACATGTAACATATTACAGAATGGGCAAGTAATCCTGTAAAAACATTTAAACCTTTCACATGTAACATGTTACAGAATGGACAAGTGATCATGTCATAACAGTTAAACATTTAACATGTAACATATTACAGAATGGGCAAGTAATCCTGTAAAAACATTTAAACCTTTAACATGTAATGTGTTACAGAATGGGCAAGTGATCCTGTAATAACATTTAATCATTTCATATACAAAAGCTGTCAGTATCATACAGTGTTTGTAATACATGTATATTCATAATTTACCAAAACATATTTTTTTAAATATGGTGAAACCTTTCTTACTTCAGTACTTAAAGTCGTATCTGGATCTCAGTATTGTATTTTTTGTTCTATAAATCACTGAACCATTTTACATATAAATATAAAACAAATTGTACCATGGAAATCTTTCTTTAGTTATGGATTACTCGTTAAAATGACAAACATTATGATTTCAACTTTCTAATTGTCAACTTTCCATTTCTCAGCAGTAACATACCAACTGTCCCATTGTAAGGCAATTACATATCTCAATTGATATGTTATGCCTGTGCACAATACAGACTTCATTAATAGTATTGAGCTTCTTACACAAAAACTTCTCCAACAGAGTTATGAGGAAGAAAAACTGAAATCAACACTACATAAGCTTTACGGTCACCATCTTGAATTGGTTGACCAATAAGATGTGTTAGTGTCTCAATTCACTTGTTATATATTTTTGCAGACTTAAATCTTGAATACCAGAGTACTGGTAGTGGAATACCAGAGTACTGGTAGTGATTTTGCCAATTGTGTCCTTTTCCAGAAGGTGGATTGTATGGCTGGTGATGCATGAATAACAGGAGACGCCTAACCTGTCGACACACCTGATACTGCTCCTTTTTGAGTTCATTCAATTCCCTCGTTTGTTATTGTTGTTGCCTTGATTAGTATCTTCTTCATTTATTTATGAGATTTGATAAATTACTGTTGTCTAAATCTGAAATATCTTTAAAACACCTACCAGCTATAACTCCTAATACATAGATTAACAGAACTCTCCACCATTTATGTACCAGTTCTAATGGTAAACCTAATAACAGCTGGAATATCAGGTTAAATATGATGTGCATGTATCTGAAATAAACAATAATATACTTCTGAATATCGGCAATACATCTGCATAAAATCATACACAGGTGGTACACAGTCATTTGACAGTAATATTAAATGAATTTGTTCAGCTATTTTTTTTTTTAAATTAAAGTTTTTGATTGAGGGTAAATCATCATTGTGTTCAACACTTATAATCATGCTCAATTAGCATTAACATTTTCTGTTCCACTACTGACACCTGACATGTTTCTTGTTAGTCGCACATGTTGTCGAGTTGAGCACACCACCACTCATAATTCAAAGGCATGGAAAACAGGAAAAATGTGTCTGACAGATCTGAAAAGCTCTCACATGTTACAACTTATCACTGCCATGTAATTTGTTGATGTTACTTAAATCTTTGTGCTTCAAAGCTCAGATGTAGAGCTATGAACATCTAGCAATGCATTCTGCTAAACTTGTGCAAGGTGTTGTCTTGATCTTGAAACCAGGTGTGAGATTTTGCTCCTTGTTGATGGCTACACTGTGACTTAGAGATAAGCTATAAAGGCAGTGTTTCTAGACGTTTGGTTTAGTCAAGTGCATGTAATGATTTTGTAAATGATTTAATAATCAGATCCCTTCTTTCCCGCCCTAACAATATCTCTGTACGTTACAGATATGTACCACTATACAAAACAATTAAACATTACATACCCTTGATGTATAAACATATAAGTTATATATCTCCAAGCCTCGTAACGTCTCTTTGGTTTATAGAGTAACGGACTGTACAGTGGTACACCTGAGGTAGCTGTTACAGGTGTTGTTGTGTCTGATAACTCAGCTGCATACACAGCAAATATAATGATCTGAAATATATATAAGGTAGTAATGTACTTTTTGTTTAACTACTAAACCTGTGATCAACTGCTAAAAATAACAATTTGATAATTAAAGAGCTTAACTTTAATAAAGGTTGACTATCAAGTAAACTTTAATTTAACACAGCTCTTGTATTTTCATTAATTTTTGCCATTCAATTGTATAATTATAATGATTGTTATGTAATTACATATCAATATTTTCATAGAAGCTAATACTTATTGCTGATAACTTACAGTAAAAGAATAACAACTGTCTATTTATTGAGTCCTGTCATCTTTTCCTGATTTATGATATCACTAAAAGCAACTTATAACTGGTATGACTGGATTTTTACTTAAAACATGTAAAACAATTTGAAAGGAGAGCTTTTGTTATTGTAACAAAAATGAATACCATGCTTTATGTATTGGGTGAACAGGAAAAATGAGGAGCAATTGATGTGAAAACCCATCTCATATTAACGCATGCAAACATGAAGCTTGATTTCAAATTTCAGAAATCCTTGATATGTAGTTCCTGAGAAAAATATGATGAAACTTTCACACAAGGCTATTATGTTGCTGAGTGATGAATCTGATAATGTCTAACACAGTAAAGCATGATCACATAATGTTTGATACAAGATTTAAGGAGGCTTTGATTTGCAGTACCTGAAAATAATGTGACAAGAATTGAATTGGACAGACATAAAACAGTTCACCCCCATCTTTCAAAGCAGGGATATAATGAGTATGCCAGATGTAAATACTATTAGCATCTAACTTCACAACCATTTTTGAGTTAAGAACTTCATGACAAGACGGTTTCAGTTATGGAATTTGGAGGACTTCTGACCATTGGCATTGCGCCCTACTTCTGTACATTTAGGAAGAATCCTATAAATTTTTGTTAAGTTAAAGGGACTTTAATTTATTAGATATTTTATAAGTATAAGTGGGTAGATATTTTGGTACATGTACTTTTTTTAAATGCAATTTATTTTTCTTATTAATCTTTTTTTTTCAGAATTAATGCTAATTTAAAGCTTAAAAGTACAAGCTTTTACCAGGTAAAATTTAAAGTGACTTTTGTTGAATTAGATATTTGTGAGTATGAGTGGGTAGATATTTGTGATGTTATTTTAATCCACCACAAAAATTTGATTCAATTAAAGCTTCAAAGTACAAATTTTAACATCATAGCCTCTAATTTTGTATCTTTCTTAAAAACCCTTTGCATTATTATTTAATTTCTTTGTTTTCGTTTTCATTACAGAAAAAAATTTCTTTTAAATTTTCAAGTACAAATCTTAATACACTGGACTTCTCTTTTTTTTTTTTTTTAAAGAAAAACAAAAACTTTACAGTACAAAATATTTTTACTTTAAAACTTTTAAGGTTTTATACTAAATATATGTTTTCTGGATAATTCAATTTATCAAAACAAACATTCATTTACAATAACAAAAATAACATCTATTCAATTAAATTGTTGACTTTGTATAATTTATAGATTGTAGCCATTCTAGGAAGAAATTAATGAATGTATTTACAATTGCAATTGTTGAAAAATGGACAAAAATGTGAGATTAATAATTGCAATTTCAGAATTTGCCATGGAACATATTATGAAAGAAAATGAAATGTGCTTTCCAAAATACAAATACTAAAAAATAATGAACTGTTCAAAATTGTATAGATTCTTCTTACATTGTGAGTGGGTTATGATATCAAATTATTGAAATTCAACATATGAAACATAGCGAGCATGCTAAAATCTTAAATTGATCAGTGGAAAAATTTTGTAAATCAAGAGCAAAGAAAGAAGTTCTCCTATATTCTACATGATTAAATAAAACATCCATGTCACTGTTGTCAAAAAAGCTACCAATTATTGTCAAAATGTATTAGCTACTGATAAACATTACTGAAAATACAAGTCATGATACAATTATACCCACATGTGGTCTAATTATCTCTAACCACTGACTGAATGAAGTATAAATTGCCCACGGAGGAGAACATTTCTCATTGAGTACCAGGTAATTACGGAGGAGAACATTTCTCATTGAGTACCAGGTAATTACCTCAACTAAACTTATAAATATCATAAATATAGGTGGTGGTCTACAGGTGTAATTGGCAAGAAAATCTTCCCTCATACTCTTGGGTAATATGTCAGCCACAGCAGCACCAATAACACTCTGAAATGCTGATCTTTCTTCCTTTGTTACATCTGTCGTCATCTAAAAATAAAACAATAAGACTTTACATATCTGATTCTTCTCCTGATTTTTTTTTTAAACAAAATGAAAATCCCTTAAAGTAACCATTACCATGCATGACATTCATAAAAATTCTTAATATTATATGCAACTTCTAAATTAGCGTAAAAGCGATATGAGCATTAAATGATATACAGAAAATAACTTATAATCTTAGTCCTAGTTAATGTTAAGCTGATACCCCAAAGGTGACTAGGGTATAGAAATATTGTCTCCTTGGTCTTCTTCAGACTGTTGGAAAAATTTGACTTTTGATCATTAAACTTTACTCTGTACCTGGGAGCAAAAAACGGTGCACATAACATCAAATCCAGTATTTAAATTGGCTGATTTTTTTAGTCTGAGTACAATTAAACTATGACTTAACTGCCATCTCTGGATGTTTTCTTTGAATGCATTTAATGCCATTTAAAAATAATACTGCAATTCTTATCACCTCAGTCTTTTATGAGTATTTTTTTAATTAACAGAACAAAATCTATCCTAAAAGCAGTTGGATTGTCATGTGTTTTCACATTACTGCTTTATGATATACTGGTACATGTACCAGTATAAGTACCAGTATAACAAAGCAAACCCTTCTACATATCAGGGACTATTTTCACAAAAAAATCTTACGATTAAAATTGGTCGTAAGTTATACTGAATTGTTCACGAATAACAAGTGTTTTTACTCATAAGTTTTTTGTGAAAAGAGTCACAGCTCTATTATCACTCAATATGCATACATGTACTTACCATTTTCATGAATTCCACAAAATCAATTCTTTCGTCTCCATCCCTATCTGCTCTGTCAAGGATACGATGTAGCCTCGCTTCTGGGATATGATCTGTGATCCCTTCATCTTTTAATTCTTCCTTCAGGAGATTGAGAGGTACGCCATCAGGTTCATGCTACAATCAATAAAACTTTATGTCAAGGCAAAGCAGTTGTTCTGTACTGTCAGTGTAAGAAATAAATAAAACTTTATGTCAAGACAAAGCAGTTGTTCTGTACTGTCAGTGTAAGAAATAAATAAAACTTTATGTCAAGACAAAGCAGTTGTTCTGTACTGTCAGTGTAAGAAATAAATAAAACTTTATGTCAAGACAAAGCAGTTGTTCTGTACTGTCAGTGTAAGAAATAAATAAAACTTTATGTCAAGACAAAGCAGTTGTTCTGTACTGTCAGTGTAAGAAATAAATAAAACTTTATGTCAAGACAAAGCAGTTGTTATGTACTGTCAGTGTAAGAAATAAATAAAACTTTATGTCAAGACAAAGCAGTTGTTCTGTACTGTCAGTGTAAGAAATAAATAAAACTTTATGTCAAGACAAAGCAGTTGTTCTGTACTGTCAGTGTAAGAAATAAATAAAACTTTATGTCAAGACAAAGCAGTTGTTCTGTACTGTCAGTGTAAGAAATAAATAAAACTTTATGTCAAGACAAAGCAGTTGTTATGTACTGTCAGTGTAAGAAATAAATAAAACTTTATGTCAAGACAAAGCAGTTGTTCTGTACTGTCAGTGTAAGAAATAAATAAAACTTTATGTCAAGACAAAGCAGTTGTTCTGTACTGTCAGTGTAAGAAATAAATAAAACTTTATGTCAAGACAAAGCAGTTGTTATGTACTGACATGTGTACAAATAAACTAAAAGAGAAGTGGATATATGTCAATGAGACAGTAACTATACCATAGAAAAAAACGAAATGATATTGAGAATGCATAAAAGAAAAAAACATTCCAAATTTTGATCCGATTTCTTCCCCTTGATTATGAATTCCTGGTGGTAACCTTGATTGGCTTGAATACCTTTAGCAACACAAGCAAGAGATCAAAAACAGGGACAAAAAAATGTTCAGCTGACCCAAATGGTTTTTTTTGGAAACCCAGAATCAAATAGAATTTATTGGGATTCTGAACTGTCATAATATACAAGAAGTTGTTTGTTCTTTAAGATACTTTTTGTTACACCATTGTTACAGGTTTTTGTTTCCCTTTTTGACACCAACTCAAAGCAAACCATTACATCAACCATTTAATGTGAAGAAAGTTTATTGGCATTATTACTTATGATAAGAGTCTACAGGTTTGGAGAATTACTAATTTACTAGTAACTCTTATTTTTTTTCCATATCATAAATCTTGAAAAAAATGAATTTTTAAACCATTTAATGTTTTTATTTTTCATAAGAATGTATATACCGTATTTAAATAAATGTATCTACATCATTGTTATTGTAGTTATCACAGTTAACTTGTATTTCACTAAATAGACAGCAAAACCTGTTTAAACTGACCTCTTGCATTAGGACAAAAAATGACCATTATTATAATTAGTACATTGTAATTCAACTTGAGTCAACCAATAAATGTCTAATCAAAACAATAAATATTGTCAGGAAGTAGTTCAATCAAAACAGATTTCACTGTATTTTAATAGTTTTACTTTTTTTTCTCTTCAGTGATTTTATATTATGTTATCTGTTAGTTACTTTTATAAGGAATTTAGTGTTGTTGACACTTTGGTTGAGTGGATTCCATAATCATCAATAAATACATAGGAAAATATCAAAGAAGAGATAGCTTTCTGAATAATAAAAAATCTTATTTAGTAAACAATATCTTTGAGAGATTAGCCCTGACATAACATTATTATCACATGACACAAGCCTAAATGCAGTGTGATTTTTTTCTTTAGTTTGATTTTATACTCTGATTAGCGGACAAATTGTAAAGAAATTTATATTAAGGATTTGTTCACACAAAGAGAAAAATAAACAAGTTTTCACAATATTGACAATGTAAAAAGTTCTAGAATTGATGATACAACTTGGAAACTAATTATTCTAAAACAGCAAACAATCACATGATATTTGTTAACTTCTGCTCATTAAAGAAGTTAACCTAATTATCAACCACATAAGAATTCTGCTAAAAAATATGGTACTCACCCGATCAAATATTGGCTTGTATCTCTGTTGTCATAACAAGGAAAAAAGAAAAAGAATATAATTAGTACAAATTTATTTATAAAAGAATAATTTTTGCAGAAAAGAAAATACATTTTAAGCTAGATTAAGTTCAATGGAAATAGGTCATGACTTAAAATATCAATACTACAAAGAGAAACCTGACTAATTTATGTAAGAGACATAGTTATAAGATGAACCTGATTTATCATTGACTTTATAGATCTTCTAAAGTTTTTAGACCTTTAAACACATTAAAGCTACAAATACTGCTTAAAAATTATTCAGGTTTGTAGATCAGCAATAAATATATATATATACATTATGTATATCAAGTACATATAGATACTTTTGATTTAAAGTTATATTTCTTAGTTATTACTAATTCATCATCTAAATTATAATGAACTATTAGAATTTAAATCATCTTAATTCATGTAGGCATTATTTCACTACATAGTGTCAGCATTAAAATGAGAAAAAAAACCACTTCATAAATTTAATGGGCATGGGGAAATGGGAGATAAACCGTGAACATTGAATATTCTTTATAAGAACAGGGGGGAATGGGAGATAACTCAGGAACATTGAAGATATTATAAAAGAGCTGTGGGAAATGAGAGATAACTCATGAACATTGAATATACTTTATAAGGACAGGGGGAAATGGGAGATAACTCATGAACATTGGAGGTATTCTATGATTATTTATCAGAACAGGAAACTAGAGGCTCTAAAGAGCCTGTGTCGCTCACCTTGGTCTATGTGCATATTAAACAAAGGACACAGATGGATTCATGACAAAATTGTGTTTTGGTGATGGTGATGTGTTTGTAGATCTTACTTTACTGAACATTCTTGCTGCTTACAATTATCTCTACCTATAATGAACTTGGCTCAGTAGTTACAGTGGAAAATATTTTGTAAAAATTTACAAAAATTTACAAAATTTATGAAAATTGTAAAAAAATTGACTATAAAGGGCAATAACTCCTTAAGGGGTCAATTGACAATTTTGGTCATGTTGACTTATTTGTAGATCTTACTTTGCTGTACATTATTGCTGTTTACAGTTTATCTCTATCTATAATAATATTCAAGATAATAACCAAAAGCTGCAAAATTTTTTCAAAAGTACCAATTCAGGGGCAGCAACCCAACAACGGGTTGTCCGATTCATCTGAAAATTCCAAGCCAGATAGATCTTGACCTGATAAACAATTTCACCCCATTCAGATTTGCTCTAAATGCTTTGGATTCAGAGATATGAGCCAAAAACTGCATTTTACCCTATGTACTATTTTTAGCCATGTCAGCCATCTTGGTTCGCGGGCGGGGTCATCGAACATATTTTTTAAACTAGATACCCTAATGATGATTGTTGACAAGTTTGGTTAAATTTGTCTAAGTAGTTTCAGAGGAGAGATTTTTGTAAAAGATTACAAAAATTTACGAAAAATGGTGAAAAATTGACTATAAAGGGCAATAACTCCTTAAGGGGTCAACTGACCATTTTGGTCAAGTTGACTTATTTGTAGATCTTACTTTGCTGACATCTGTACATTGTTGCTGTTTACAGTTTATCTCTATCTATAATAATATTCCAGATAATAACCAAAAACGGCAAAATTTCCTTAAAATTACCAATTCAGGGGCAGCAACCCAACAACAGGTTGTCCGATTCATCTGAAAATTCCAAGTCAGATAGATCTTGACCTGATAAACAATTTTACCCCATGTCAGATTTGCTCCAAATGCTTTGGTTTCAGAGATATAAGCCAAAATCTACATTTTCCCCCTATGTTCTATTTTTAGCCATGGCGCCCATCTTGGTTGGTTGGCCGGGTCACAGCAAATTAAGAGTTTTAGACAATTATTTCATTTACAATAATCATCATGAGCATACTCATTGTTATAAAAACAGCCAATCATGCATGCACAGTCATATAGTTGTAAAAACAGCCAATCATGCATGCACAGTCATAATCATGAACAGTCATATAGTTATAAAAACAGCCAATCATGAACAGTCATATAGTTATTAAAACAGCCAATCATGAAAAGTCAAATAGTTATTAAAACAGCCAATCATGAACAGTCATATAGTTATAAAAAAATCCACTATCTACAAAAACTGTTCATTTTGCTTTTAAATGTTGAATTTTTTGTGCAAACTATATAACTGATTTACAATTTTGTCTTTCATATAGGAGTAATGTTTTATAAGCTCTTCAAATATGACAACTAAATAAACAATACACTAAAAAAGCATATTTTTACTGTATGTAATTACTGATGAGATTGCATCACAATTATTTTCTACCTGATATAGACAAGGACCAATGCATTATCTAAATAAATGAAAACTGATTAAGTGAATTTTCGAAGTCCAAGGACTATAACTCTGCACAAAATCATCAGACCGGAACAAAATTTGAACTTGATCTGTAACTTGTCATGATAAAACCATATACAAATTTTCAAATCAATATCTTCATGCATGACAAAAAAAAGTGCGGAAAACTGATTATTTGAGTGAATTTTCTAAGTCAAAGGACCATAACTCTGCACAAAATCATCAGACCGGAACAAAATTGAACTTGATCTGTAACTTGTCATGATGAAACTATTTACAAAATATCAAATCAATATCTTCAAGCACAAGAAAAAAGGTGTGGAAAACTGATTTGCCGGACTGACAGACAGACAGACAGACGGACGGACGGAGCGCAAACCTAAAGTCCCCTTCAACTTCGTGGGTAGGGGACTTATAAGAGCAAAACTATTCCACTTAGTAGATGTGTGTATTTTTCTTTTTTTAAACTTTACAAGCTTTAATTTATGACTGTATCTATCACAATGTATATGAAATACAATACTTAAAAGACAAAAAACTGCCTGGATGGGTGTATAAGAAAGTCCTTAAGTAAGCGGTTCTTTTTTAATGTCACTTGATCTGTAACGAATTATCACATATATGAAACCATTAATCATGAAATAATATATTTGACAATATCAGTAAAATTATGTCCATCTCACACAAAACAATCTCCATTTTACATTTCTATAACAACCCGAATTGTAATGGGCATCACAAGTACAATATGTAAACGTACCTCATGATGTCTTACATTGATGCCATTATCATTAATATTTAACTATTCAGAAAGAAGTATGACTTTGATTTTCAAAGAAGTAAATAAGTGTCCTAGGATCCGACAGGAATTTTTTATAGCATCTTCCTGTTAACCCCCACAGTTGACACCTCCTGTAGAGTGATCATGGTGATTGCCATGTTTGAGGATTGATTATCTCTGTTGCAAGGCCAAATTTCTTTCCCTTTCCAACATACACCTTTTCAAGCAGTCTACATTCTAATATAAAATAAGGAGATATGGTATGATCGATTGCCATTGAGACATATATCCAAAAGAGTCCAAATGAAGTAGTTTTAAATTTTCACAGAGTTTAAACTCATCTACTGCATTAATTTGTCCTCTTTTTCTACTTCTGAATATGCACGAAATATTTGCACTAGATGTTTAGCAAACAGCAACAATCAATCACCCTGGTATATTTGGGCGTTTTTTTTTTAAACAGATAAATAAGAATTTAAATTGTGATAAAAATATCTCCAACGTCCAATTAGACAGTGTCTATTCTGTATCAAATTATAAATGCTCCTTTATGTTTACCCTAGATAGGAATTTCCCCCAAGGAAAATTTGATACATGTCAAACCTTTAATCAGTCTTTCTTACTTTAGAATCCAAATCATTAATTATTCAGTACCAATGTCTCTGTACAATAAGATCCCATTACACAGAGATTTCAGAAGTTTATAAGAAGGTGAATTAACACTCATTTGTAAAAAAAAAACCTCTATCAAATGTTTCTTTTTGTTACTTCAGTCCATTGTAAAATGTTTTAAAATCATCAAATAACAAAGAAACAATGCATAGAATATGTGAGCCAAAATTTGTTCCTGTGAAAAAAGTTCCAATGGAACTTATATCACAGGAAATATGTTCTGGGAGAACTTTTTTCACAGATAGTTTCTATATAATTTGTTCCATCTCTATAAAATAAGTTCCACACTTTACCTGGTGAAATAAGTTCTGGATTTGGTGAAATTTGTTCCTTACCTAGTGAAATAAGTTCCGGGTTTGTGAGATTTGTTCCTTACCTGGTGAAATAAGTTCTGGGTTTGTGAGATTTGTTCCTCACCTGGTGAAATAAGTTCCTTGCCTGTGAAATATGTTCCACTGGTTAAACAAGTTATCTTATATACCTAGCATTTGTCACAAGTGAGTTTAAAGTTATCATTCAAGTACTGTATAAAACATGTATTATATATTGATAATGTAATAAATCAAAAGTGTAAAATCCAATTTGGATCCTGTGAAGTATAGCAAATGTTTAATAAAATATCAAAATGACACTTAAGAACCAGAAAAGAGTAGAATAAGAAAAATCATTCAGAAAACAAAAATGTGTTCATAGTACACGGATGCCCCATCCGCACTATCATTTTCTATGTTCAGTGGACCTTGAAATGGGGTAAAAACACTAATTTGGCATTAAAATTAGAAAGATCATATCATAGGGAACATGTGTACTAAGTTTCTAGTTGATTGGACTTCAGCTTCATCAAAAACTACCGACCAAAAACTTTAACCTGAAGCGGGACAGACGGACGAACGGACGAACAAACGGACGGACGAACGGACGGACAAACGACACACAGACCAGAAAACATAATGTCCATAAATGGGGCATAAAAAAGTATAGTTAAAGATAAACATTTTTACTAATTTAAAAAGGACAAAGTGACTGATCAATTATATTAAAAGCCATGAAGAAACAAAAGACACTCTTTTGAAACTGTACATGTGCCATGACATAAGTACATGACTGACTAGAACACCCATGACAGTTAACAGGAAGCAAGAAGGAATACCACATAAAACATAAAAACAAATTATGATACATTTCCGATGCCTTTTTTTCTTTTCTTCATCCTATAGTTACAGTCATGCCTTCAATTGCAAATGTACCCCATTATTTCACTTTTTTAAAACTTTTAACATTGGAACAAAACTCATGGAGCTGTAAATTTTGTTCCCGAACTTATTTCACATTTGGTAAAAAAAATTAGTTCTGGAACAAATTTTACAGTGATGGAACATATTTTCTGTGATATAAATTCCGGTGGAACATATTTCCTATGACATTTGTTCCGGTGGAACAAATGTCACACCGGAACAAATTTTTTGTTACAAATACATCACAACCAAAAAATCATTATTGAAAAGGGATTTATTTTCACGGACATTAAATTTGCAATTTCTAGGGCCAAACCTTTGGAGATTTCATTTTCACATTTTTCTTGTCCCTGATACTAATGGCTACTGATATTCCCAAAGAGAACAAATTCATGAAAGGTGAAATTTTCACCCTCATTATCATGTTTGCAAATCAAAAAATATAAACAACTTGTAAAAGTTTTCCACTTCACAGTATAAACCAGGGGCAGATCTAGGATTTTCAAAATGCAAGTAAGTTCAAAATACTGTATATAAAGCAACGGGCGGGATCGAGTAGAATCAAATTTTGGACAATTTTATGCTCGAAAAATCATATAAATCAAGAAAAACATGAGATTTTTTTATGTTTGACGATCAAAGGGAGGCGTACGCCGTATACGCCCCCTGGATATACATTTCAAAGAAAGTGTCATTCAGCTCATATGTTAATTTTTACAGGATCTGTTTCTAGTAAATAATATTCTGTACATTTTATTTTAAGAATGGAGGATTGATTGATCGATTGGTGTTTAACACCACCTTCAACACAATTGTGCTATTTCGTGGTGGTCAGTTTTTATTGGTGGAGGAAGCCGGAGTGCCCGGAGAGAACCACTGACCTTTGATAGGAAAACCGACAATCCTAGTCAATTAAGATTGGAGTCGAGTGCAACTGCCCCGTGGGGGATTTGAACTCACAACCTCAGTGTTGACTGGCTAGTATTACAGTAATTCGACTATTTAGACCACTCGGCCACCGAGGCCCCAAAGTATGGAGGAATTCATATCTGAACATATAAAATATACACCCAAATTCCCTGAAAATTGAACCTTACACACTGAAGCTAGGGACATATCGCATTCATGAATACATCACGTACATGTATTAATGAACAGAAAATATAGTATACCTTGTACATATCTAACTCCAATTCTGTTAGGGGCCTAGGTTGATATCTGCTTATGTAACGTGTATTTCCATTTGACAAAAGAATATTTTTATCTTTCACAGCATATGGATTTTCTGATATATAGCGAGGTGAAATGGAGTCACCATTAGTAATCATATATGGGGATCTACTCCTTTCTCTGACCACATATTGCGGAGATTGACCATTACTTATCAAATATGGTGATCTACTCCTTTCTCTGACCACATATTGTGGAGACTGTCCGTTACTTATTGTATACGGCGATCTACTCCTTTCCCTGACCACATATTGTGGAGATTGGTCATTGCTTATCATATATGGTGATCTACTCCTTTCTCTGACCACATATTGTGGAGATAATTGCTGATTTTGTCTAACAATATATCTGGGTTGTTCCCTCGTTACATACTGAACTGCTCTTTGCTCAGGTTGTCTGTATGACCGACCATGAACAAGAATTTCTGAACGAGGCTGGTGGTAATTACCTACTTCTGGTTGGAGATATATTTCAGATCTAGGCTGGCGATATTCCATACTTTTGATTCACTTTTAGAATGTGAGCACTTTTTTATAAAGCTACTAAATACGAAAAATTCTACTATTGAAATCTTGCACAAAGTAATCCTGACTCTATTGAAAAATAAATCTATTTTGACAATCTTCTATATCAATATTCTGGAATGCTGTATTCTACCTTCTGCAGACACCAAAAAAATGAAGGTATTGGTTAACGGAAATCAATTCAAGCTTAAAGTGGAATTCACTACTTTGACATTATTTCTTTTACCATGTTTACATTAAGTTCTATATGTTTTCACCTATATCAAATCTTCCATTTACTATTAAATTATTTATAAACATAGAACCGGTGAATCAAGTTAAAAATAATATTCTCCAATTAATCAATTTGCCGACTGATATAGTCCTTAACCCTAAACAATATATTTGTCAGGTCAAAATTCAAATGTTTGTATTGTTAAAATAAGTGACCAATAATAGACTCAGGTAAAATAAATCTAGAGTGCCCATGATCAATTTAAATCATGAATATATTTAAATGCTTTTTTATTGTAATTTTTTAGCACTCAACATTTTAGTAGATGAAGATTTTATAAACATATTTCTTCAAACAAAATTCATTCAAGTGGCAATAAAATCCTACCTTTTTTCAAAGAAAGATCAAAATAAGTGAATTCCACTGTATGCTAAAATTGTTACGGCAGCCGATCAAAGGTGGTCGCATACAAGAGAAATTCTACAATAAGTCCTAATGTTGCAAAGTGGTAAAACAAGCATACATGTATGTATTGACCAGCAAATAAACCTGTGGTCTCCGAAAGTTTAAATGGAGATTTAAAACACACAGGATTAAATACACAGACAGAACAATGGACATGTACTGAAGCATAACCAAATAAAGGTAGACATAATACTGTTAAAATAATTATATAATTCTAATCACTGATTGAGAGATACCAATCATTTAAATTCTTCACTGTTATGTAAGATTCAGAATAAAAGTTGCATGTCATAAGAGACTTGCAGAGTATACTACAGATGTTAATAATGGGTACATTTGTGTATATTATAAGAATTCACAGTCTATTGAAAGTAAAAGAGTACAGGTAGGTCATTTTTGGGAATACTGCAGACTGGTAGGTGCAATTTAGTCTTATGATGAAAGAAAACAAATATATGAATTTATAGGCGAACTTGTGTATAAATCAAAATGACCTGTCCAGTCTTTTAATTACCATGTTAAGTATTAAATCTGAGAAATGAAAGTACAAAGTTAAATACCAAAAATACCGAACTCCAAGAATGTTTAAGTTCAACATATATGTACATCATTATAACTATTTAGCTATATATAAAAACATGTCAATTCTGTGCAAATACAACACTACAAGCAGTGAAACACTCAATGTTATAGCTGTTTAAATAGTTTTTAAATTTCATCTTCTATTCAGAAAAGACATCTCACAAAACATGTATAACCCCGCCACATTTTTGCGCCTGTCCCAAGTCAGGAGCCTCTGGTCTTTGTTAGTCTTGTATGTTTTTTAATTTTAGTTCATTTATATGTTTTGGAGTTTAGTGTGACGTCCATTTTCACATAACTAGTACACAATTTTATTTAGGGGCCAGCTTGGGACCACCTCCAGGTGCGGGATTTTCTCGCTGCGTTGAAAACCCATTGGTGGCCTTTGGCTGTTTTCTGTTCTTTGGTCGGGTTGTTGCCTCTTTGACATATTCCCCATTTCCATTCTCAATTTTATGGATTAATACATAAGAAAAACACTGTTGACACACTAAGCCTGTAAAAGTCCTTGAATATTGTTTTTTTATTTGTGTAGGCGTTCTTGTTTTTATCAATTACTGAGAATTCTTTTCATCAATTGAAAAAATACTCAACATTATGAATACTATATATAGAAATAATAAACTGTTAACACAGAGATATGTCTCGTCTATTGTTATTTTGATAACGCAAATGTTGAAATTAAAATAGCAATACTTAAACATGTAAGTTATGCAAATATTCAAAGTCAACTAACCATGACTGAAGGTACAGGGCTAAACAATCTGCATGGAAATGAGATGTGCCAATGCTAATACAACTGCATACCAAATACCATTGACTTTTCATAAGTCGTTCCCTTTAAACAAACCTAAACACAAACAATAACTTGTAAACTATGTAAAAGTTTCAAAGTCAATGAACCATAATGAGGGGGTGGGGTTATATAATCTCCATGGAAATGAAACTTGCAAATGCCAATACATTTGCATACAAAATATCATTGACTAAACATTAGTGGTTCATCTTAAACGGACCTAATCACAAATTAATACATATGTAAAACTAAGCAAAATTTTCAAAGTCAATAGACCATGACTGAGGGGGCGGAGCCAAATATTCTCCATGGAAAAGAGATGTGCTAATGCTTATACAACTGCATACCAATTAACATTGGCCTACCACTAAAGGTCCCCCTTAAACTGACCTAATCACGAACTATAACATGAAAACTAAGCAAAATTTTCAAAGTCAATAGACCATGACTGAGGGGTTGGGCCAAATAATCTCCATGGAAATGAGATATGCCAATGCTTATACAACTGCATACCAAATATTATTGACCTACCACTAGTGGTTCCCCATAAACTGACCTAATCACAAACTAATACATGTAAACTAAGCAAAGTTTAGAAGTCAATAGACCATGACTGAGGGGGCAGGGCCAAATAATCTCCATGGTAATGAGATGTGCCAATGCTAATACAACTGCATACCAAATACCATTTACATACCACTAGTGGTACACCATAAACTAGACCTAATCACAAACTAACACATTGTTGACGCCGCCGCCACCGCCGGAAACAGCATACCCATGTCTCGCTTTTTGACTCTGTCAAGCCGAGACAAAAATTACAATTGAGTTGTGGTATAACTGCCAATGAGACAATTATCCACAAGAGTCCAAAATGACTTGCATGTCAGCTCAATCTGAAGCAAGTGTAAAGAAGTTAATTAAGGTACTATGTATAATATACTACAGAAGTAAATGTCCTTGAAAACCAGTTCAGGTCACACACCAATCTTTACATTTCATATTTACTAACAGGACAAGACTACAAGCTCAAAAGAAATACCATGACACAGATTCAATAAATTGTAGTTCTATTATAGAAACCTCAAAAAAATATCTTGAAGATGCATGTAATGAAAGAGAGGCAAAAGATACCAAAGGGAAATGTGCAAACTCATTAGTCAAAAATAAACTGACAACACTATGACAAAAAAATAAAAAAAGACCTATTTAAGACAAACAACAGTACAAAAAACACAACACAGAAAACTAAAGACTGAGCAACATGAACCCCACCAAAAACTGGGGATGATCTCAGGTACTCCTGAAGGATAATAAATCATGTATGATAATAGTGAATGTGAGCACCTTGTTTTTAAGTGATCATGATGATAATGAACACAGATATATATGTGCTGTAATCCAAATCCTTGTACATATACTAGTACTTCTACATGAAATAATTGTGAACATGCAGAGATGTTGTACCTAGTCATTGTAAGAGACTAAATAAAATGTTAAAAATCCATTTGTTAAATACACAAAGACACTTATTAATACAGTTCACATATATAAGCACTTATCAATACCTAGAAACTGAAGAATTGACCTAATAATGAAACTTAATAAGAACAAACAAAGATCAAATCATGAAAACTAGGTCAAGGTAAGATATGACCATCTGGTAAACATGTTCATCTTACAACAGTTCAATAGATCGAATAAAGTTAACCATTACTTACAGACATGTATTAGATACAATACAAAGGTAACAAAGAAACAGGCCGGTAACAACCGTTGCCGGATAGTTTTCCTGCACTAGTAGTCAGGTGAAGGTCCGAGGCGTTAGCCGAGGACCTTGACCTGACTACAAGTGCAGAAAAACTATACGGCAGTTTGTTTCCGGCCTGTTTTTTGTTACCTTTGTTTTGTATCTGACTTGTACGACATCTCAAGAAAGAAGAAGTACATTTTGCATTTAGAAGTGGTAATTAAACAGATTAGAAACTTAAATGGCCATATACCAGTTAATATAAGTTACAGTTTAAACAAACTTTTTTTTCACTTCCCTTCAGCCGAGAGTTTTTTCTCAAGAAATTCAAGAATCTAATAATTTTATAAAAAAAGAACCATGTCAAGTAAAAGATGAATGTCGTACACATATGAGACTTTTAAAATGCAACTGTGCAAGTAAGTAATGTATGAAAAAGATTTCAGAGGTAAGCAAGCTAACATTTGATTTTTATTTGGGGAAAAACGGAAAGGGGGGGGGGGGGGGGGGGGGGGGTGTTAAAATAAATTTTATCTAAACAGGCTTGATCCTTTTTTTGTTGAAAAAATGCAGGATATGCCATTCCATTCCCCCATTCCCCTTTAAAAAATAATAAAAATCGTACGTTTGCTCCCAAATATATAAATTCAATATATAGGAATCCAATATATAGTAATTCAATATATAGGAATTCAATATATAGTAATTCAATATATAGGAATTCAATATATAGTAATTCAATATATAGGAATTCAATATATAGTAATTCAATATATAGGAATTCAATATATATGAATTCAATATCAAAATAAATGTATAAAAAGAATGAATTTTCTATTTCATTAATTAGTAAATGAAATGTTATGAAATAATGGATTTTGTCTTGTTATTAGATATATATAGGCATATATTTGGGATTTAAAAAAAAAAAAATTCATGCTTATAGGTTTTTATTTGTCTCTCATAGTGTTGATCAGGATTAAACAAGTGTCACAATATGATCCAATCGCAGCTTACCGTCCAAAATTAGTAACATAAGTTGAATGATTTTCTTCAAGATTTGCTGCCTATTTGAACATGTATTACAAGGACACTTTTTATTTATAGGATCAATCGTGCATTGGTGAGTTGATAGGGATTTTATCTTTTGATTAGATTTGATTTTTTTTATATATATTTCCTGTCTTTTTTATTGAAATATAATTGTCGGTACCAGCATTTCTCTACTTTCAGCGTTGTCCAGAATACTACTCATGTCCATATATTGAAGAAGAAAAAATTACCTTTACAGACCGACCATTTAGCTTCAAAAGGGGGGTATGTTTTCTTCTGAGTAAGAAAATTATTTAGTTTTTCAACACTATCACCCAAATATTTTTTTTAGAAATTAGCACTATTATAATCAGGATTCGGAAAATCAGGAATCAGAACATTATTTCGTCATCTGCTTGACCACAATATATTTTTTCTCATAAAATTAGGGATCAGAATATTTTTTTAGGAAAAAGCTATAACCCTCCTTTTGAAGTAAAATGGTCAATCCCTTAGTGTACTGATATGAGTAGTAAAATACTGGAATTGTTTGAAAAAAATATAGTTATTGATGCCAACGTAAATATTTTAATAAAAAATACAGGGAATATGTCGGTGAAACAAAGAGTTCAAATCTAATTGAAATTTAAAGTGCCCTTGAACTCACTGATCATGCACGAGTGATTCTATTCATAAAAAGTGTCCATGTAACAACTAAAAAGTGTCGTGTATCATCTAAAAAGTGTCCATGTAACACCCGTTAATGTACTGTTTTTCTATAGCTCTGCTGGGGACAAAGTCGTACAAGTAATGTAAATTAAAAGGCCACTTAATCAGGAAAAATATTGATTTTCATAAGTGATGGAATCATGAAAATATGCAACTGTCATATAAGTCAGATGAAAACTTCAGA